TTTCTGTCCGTAGCCCTCTGCTGATGGTAATCCTGCCCCTCTGTGCCTTATTCTTCCCTTTTCTGTTAAAACCCACGTGAAACCACATCTGGTGGCTTCATGCCTTGTCATAGCTGAACAACTTGGACAGCCTAGTGACACCTAAAACCTGTGTGACTATTTTCCCTTTATCTCCATATCCCTGTCCATGATAGCCTTTGATGACTAAAAAGCTTTACTTGTCTCATTTGTGTGAGTAAATAAGCCAGATGAATCTGCTGTGAGCCACGCATTTGGATTTTCTGATAGGAAGATGGCCAAAATTTCAGTGTTTCTCAGACCTTCTGGGATGATGAGTGTTTCTATTGCCTCCATCATGGGTGTGGTTTTGTCTACTCATAGTTCTGTAGAACTCTTTCTCTGGGGGAAAATCAGGGATAGCCATGCTGAACGAATGCATAATAGGGTTTTAGGATGTCTGTGTATGGAGGGGTATGTGTCACTCTTCTCTGCATAACAGAAATGGTTCTATTATACTGTGGTGACTCCCAGACTCCTTTGTGTCCACATCCTTGGTCTCCTTCCTTTCTTGAGCGTGGAACCATCCTGGGGGGCCTCCTTGATGTTAGGGTGAGGTTGCTCTGTCTGGTCCCATGGGTGTGACGTTGTGTGGCCCTTATAGTTCCATTTCCCATGACTAGGACCAGGTAGAGATGATTGTTGTCTATGCAGGACAGTGCCTCCCAGATTTTACCAGCAAAGGACTCCTCTTGAGAAATGAAAAGTAGATGCTCAGTCTAGCTCTCTAAAGTGGCTCCCTCAAGGGCCATTTCTTTGATGACTCATACTTTAGCTCTGGGAGATTTTTCTTTCCATTTCGGAATATAGCTGTGTTTTCTCTAATATAAAAACGACTCCGTCCAGAAAATCCTTGAGGCAAACCAGTATCCCAGAAGTTAGATTTGGAGTTTCCTGGCTGTCTGCAGCTTCTTGGGGATTTGCAGGTTCTAGATTAAGAAACAGGGACTTGTGTAAGCCCAGAATTCTAAAGAATTTTCCACAATCACGTGGTTCTGTGGCTTTATGAGTAAGTTCCTTTATACATCTTGTCTTGAAAACTGACATTTTTGGTCTTAACAAAACTGGAGACTGTGTAATTGATGTTTGAGTCCTTATAACAGGTGAAGATCATAATTATAGACTTGATTTTAATACCATGCTCCATTCCCCATATGTGTTCACGATGGTTCTCAGCAGAACATGGAGATTGTAACAATTTGTGAGCTGAAAAACCTGCTTTCGTCTTTGCTTCTTTCAGGGACTGTCCACAGGCCCTTCCCAGTTACAGTCAATTAGTCAGAGCCCAATTCTCTATTTTTCTGTTGTGTCAAATATACATATATACATATGTCGAATAATGTGTGGGATGGGAAGTATTAAACGATGCTGTGTATGTATTTGTCAGGCACTCAGTGTGAAGAGTGAGCTGGTAGGAGGTGGAAATGTGGAAAGTACCAGTAGGATTTCTGTTTAAATTTCAGATGTAGGGCCCTTTAGGTCTCCAGAAGGAGGAAGGGGAGGAGGCTTTTGCTGGTGTCATCTCTCTCTTCTTGGGTTTCTACAGAGGTGTGGCTCCTGCAGAACTACCCTTAGAGCCAAGTAAGAGTGGTCCCATGCAGGCCCCATACTTTGGAGGGTCCTGCACTGCTTCTCAGCTAGCCTCGGGCCTCAGCATGGCCAGGAGTCTGTGGGGCTAAAAGAATGTGCCTCCTTGGAGCCTGTGCACACCAGCATGGCCATAATCCAGGCACCTGGGACCCGGGAGATTCCTTGTCCAAACAGTCTGGGCAAAGCACACACACAGGTCTCTCCCCCTGTGGACTCCACAGCCACCATGCCTCCCTGGTCTGCTGAGTGGCCCGAGCTGTATGGGTGGGGGGAGGGTAGATTTGGATGTGAGGACTGGGATGTCTATCTCTATGCACTCTCAGGGCACCTCATGATATGTGACTGAGCTGGGGGGCCATCTAGGGAGTCCAGCTGGGAGGCTGACGTGGACAGGAAGAGCACAAGCCACGTGGGGGACTCGTCTGTGCAGATGCTGTGTGGGACAGCGCAGCCTGCTTCCAGAACCTTGTGCCCGCCGCCCCCCTCCCAGAGGTGGACCCACAGGGGGCATGTGTCTTCATGAGGTCTGGGGTGTGTCTGATGCGTGCCACCTCTGTCCTGTGCCTGGCTTCTGGCCTGGCAGGCAAGACACACAATGTGGGGGAATTCCTCAGGAATAAGAAGGAAATTCCTCAAGGTTGTGGGAAAATTCTTTAGGAGTAAGAAGGCGTTAATAGAGGAAGTCACCCCTTCCCTCTGCACCAGAGCCCCTGGGCCTTGTGGGTTCTGGCGGCTGTCCCTCTATCCCCCAACTGTCACTTTCACTGCATCTGTGCTGGGTATGGAGTTCCTTGCAGACGGACAGAACGGCGCTAGGAGATGAGCGGATCTTCTGTTGGGGGCCTTCTCATCGTTAACCCTTACACCCCATCTCTGCTTCTGTAGTTGAGTGCCTGCTGGAGTCGGCCGTGCTCTGGTCTCATTTCCACTTTTCTCTCTAACAAACAAGAGGCTTCGCACATATCTGCCGTGTGCCACAGAGCCATGGTGTGTACCGGTTTCCAAGTACATTATGATCACAAAGAGTGAGGGGAACTGTACTCCGGAAGTTCACGATGGATCGCTTTTTTGCGTGATGGTCATAGAAAGCTCTGCTTCCTGTTTTCCTACCTGCATGGGAATGGACCAGGCTGCTGGGGGCGGCGGGGTGACCAGCCAGGGCCCCCTGTCATGCTGGGGCCTGGTCCGGTGTCAATACCTCGGTGTGACCCCCCCCACCCCCACCCAGACCCCTGCACTCCTGCTGGAATCAGCTGTGGAGGGGATGGTAGGCAGGGTGGAAAGTTTCATGTGTAATACAGATGTCACTGCCTGTAAGGGTAGGAAAGGAGCTGTGTGTTAATTTATTGGGAGCATTAATCCTTCTCTCTCCCTTCACCCTTTTATTTTATGTGGAAAATTCCTCTGAACAATAAATAACACAATAGAATAGATCTGTGACTTTTTTATTGTCAGTACTTTCTAAAAATATATTTTGAGTTTTATTTGTAAACTGATTTCAAAAATCACAGCAGGTTTTGCCCAGTTGCCTCTGGACAAGGGAGGTTGACTTAGCCAGTATCCCGTCTGGAGGGAATTGTGCCCAGTGGCTGGTCCTGCTCCTTCTGCTCTCCCTCAGCGTCCTCCCTGGCTTCCTGGCTGTGCAGCCTTTGTGTCATCCTGAAGTAGTAATCTTCCCTTTCCAGTGTGGTTCCCAGCCTCATAATGCTTCCCCTAGCATTTCTCTTCTCTGACTCACACTCAGTACCTGTATTCCAACCTTTCTCCCCCTTGATTCGAGGCCAGGTTTTCCTCCCTGTGTAGTCTAAAGGGAAGACGTTGGGTAGATGAATCTTTCTCTCCCTCCCTCCCTTCCTCGCTTCCTTCCTGAGCTCTTACCACAATGCAAGATGAGTAGGATGGGGCCCTCTTCATAGGAGTATGGGAGAGGGAGACAGTCTTCTCTGTACCTTTCTCTCCTAGCCCAGGTAGGGAAGGGCAGCCACCAGGGGAGCCCTGGGTCCCAGAGCCAGAGGTCTGAGGCACCAGGTGCCCTGGGTCAGGTGGAACCTATGCGACTTGGTGTTCCTGGCTGTGGAGGAGGGGGGCGTCTACTGGGGCCCCTGAGAGAAGCCTCACATCAGAATCGGCTCAGAGCTGGTGGAAGTCACAGAAGAAGCAGGCGGACTGGGAAGGTTAGAACCAAGTGACAGGCCTGGGGAGCCCTGTGGAGACACCACGGAGGGAGAATGGCAGCTGGCAAGGAGCAGAAGCCATGAACCAATAGCAGAGGATGGGGAGAAGAGACAGTGACTATAAAAGTTCTTTTAGAGACTTTCGGGGCAAAGAGGAAGAAGGGAAGTGAAGTGGTTTGGGGGACTTGGGAAGTCAAGTCTGCAAGAGGTTTCCTGGACTTTCCAAATCAATTCATTCCTCTTGCCCATCCTTCTCCCCGTCCTCACCCTGTTCATTTCTCTGACACTCTCCCTACGGGTCCCCCCATGCTGTGCTCATTTCTGGGCCACACTGATGGAGGTGGGGAGGGCACTGTGCTTCGGACAGAGGATGGGAAGGTCAGGGAGCCTTTGATTTTGTGTTTCAATTGATGTGGATAAGCCTCTGTGCCTCTGACCCCTTTATGTGATGCTGTGTACCTTCCTGTAAACCTAACATGAATGTCAGGTGCTGCTTAGTCCATTTAATCTAAGCGGAGTGTTTGGTGTTGCATTAGTCAGGCTGTTTTATGGATTGGACATGAAAAGGCCTTATGCTTCAGCCTGACCAGTGTTGCAAAGGCCTGAGGAAATCAGTCAGACCTGAAGCAAATACCAGACTCTGAAATATCCCAGGTAAACCGTAAAAACCGGGATGGTGGTGGATGGTGGAATGCCTATAGGGCACATCACAGTTCAGCTTTTCGGGAAGTGCTTTCAGATTCTGTCATTGGGAATGCAGGTGTATCGATAAGCTTGCTAGAAGGAAGCCTGAGGATGCACAGTGTGCCTGCCCTTAAAAAGGGCCTGTTCATGTTCTCCCTGGCATCTGGTTCATTCTCCGAGCTCTGTTCTCCCAGGGCATAAAGTGGTGAGGTGCCCACAGGTGGTACCACCCTTCTGCCTCCCTGGGCCAGCTAAGTGCCAGGTTTCATGCAGTTATTCCAAGAGAGGTGGTGGTTGTTCCTCACCCCCCGCCCCTCAATTTTCTGAAATCGTTGTCTCAGAGGACTGTGGAGCGTGGTGCCCTTTAAAAATGCTGACTCATTTTTGTCAGTTTGTTTTGGTTGGTCTTGGATGCTTCTCAAGGTCTGGGTAGAGGTCGGTGCCTAGAAGCTCCCTCACTGCAGCTCACACTGGTGTGCGTGCTTCCTTCCCCAGGTAGAGTCGCCCCTCGAGGATGCTGACTCCGTGCTGAGAAGCGGGACCACTTCACACAAGGAAGAGCAGTCTCCAAGGTAACGGTTGCTTCCCCCACCAGGGGGCCTGCGGGCCGATTCCCGTAGACGGCTGGAGTCTCCAGCCTCAGCTTCAGGTGATCCCGGCGTGTCTCTCAAGGTGCACAGAACTTTGTGTTTGTCTGCCCAGGATCCTCTGGGACAACTCTGTGGTTTTATCTGAGTTCTGAAGGGGTCTGTGACCCCACCGAGGGCCACTGCTCACCCACTTTCCGGGGTCACTTACCGATCGATCGCTAAGGTTATGACCGGTGTGCTGATGGTTCCCAGCGCACTGTGTGCTGTCCGGTTCCAGCACATTCCGGGCCCTGTGTCCATGTCACTCAGCTTTCAGCTGACACTCGGAGTCTCCGTTTCTGTTGGAGGCGACACTGCTGGCTAGCCCCAGTAGACCCAGACCCAGTGGTGCTGTGAGCGACATCCTTTGGGCCTCTCTTTGGGCTGTCTGTGCGTTCTGGAACCTGTCCCTCTTACCTGGCCCAGCCCTCACTGGTCCCCACCTGAATGAATCAGGGCTGGTGCATCCCAGACCCGCTCCGTCACCCCTCCTTTCGCAGACCTCTGAGTAGTTCTCAGATCCACCCCCTTTCTATCTGTCCTTCACTGCTGGCTGGCTCAGGCCACATCCGCTCTCATGTGGACACCCCCTCATGGCTGCCTGCTCTCTCCACCTACCCTCTTGTCTCCGGTTTATATTCCACACAGGTGCCAAGATCTCTGTGAAATCTGATTGTACACCACCCTGTAGCATAACACCTTTAAGTGAGTCTCTTTTTTGCCACCTGCGACTTGCAGCCCCAACTCCAAGCTGTCCTTGGGCTCTGTGTTCTGGGCACTGTCAGCCTCCCCAGCTTTGCTTCTTGGCTTCCCACCTTTGGTTTATGCTCCAGAAGTAGATGTGCTCCCCACCACCTCCTGAGGTTCAGGTAACCCCTTCCAGGAGCCCTCCTCCAGGCTGAGTCAGGGCCCTGGGCTTTGCTGTCCCCAGAGACACCTCTGCATCATTGGATAACTCTGTGGCCCTGCCTGCTTTCCCCGATGGCTGATGAGCTCCTTGAGCCAGACCCTGGTCGTTATTCCTGTGTGTTCCCAGGGCCATGTGTAGCTGCAGGTGTGCAGTAGATATCCAGCATACAGTTGCTGAATTCAGCAGTGACCGAATGAAGGGATGAATGGATAACTGGAAACACTTCACCAAAGCTTGTACTTGTCATCAGCACGGGGGTAGTTATGATAGCTTACATTTGAGGGTGACCATTTGCCCAATGGTTCAGTGCCCCTCACATGTGACAACCATTTTGCCTTCAGCAGCTGTCAACCACAAATACTGCTCATGTCATCCCTGTCTCGTCAAATGGGGAATGGAAGCTTTGACCAGAGGACAGAGGGATGTGGGAAGAAGGGGGTGTGTGGGACACAACTGTGATCACATGGGGCTTATGCCTAAATGGCCATCTTGAAGAGTGGCTTGCTTTATTTTTTTATTTCATTAATTATTATTATTATTATTATTGTTTGTTTGTTTCTGGCTCTAGCACTCTGCCTTCAAATAGCACAACACAGATGCTGTTGGGAGACTTCCTCACTTGGCCAGCCTTTCAACTATTGGCAGTGCAAGTCTAGTCAGGTTTGGCATCATCCTTGAAATTTCTGTGTTGTGTGGGGGGCCTAGTGGGGTTTGTGGTAATTTTTGTCAGGAGCGTGGTTCGTTTAGTCTCGGGTGCATCTTTACATCCCTCACTTTCACGGTCCGTCCTTGGACATATGACTCTTAACCCCATCTCATGGCCCAGAGCTGACCCCCTTGCCCTAAGGTTCTGGGGACTGATAGGGATTCAGAAAGTCCCCTGTTGAGAGGAAGGGGCTGCTCTCTCCCCTGGTTTTTCTCAGAACACTTCTGGGGCAGGCGAAGCAAAACCTGGACCCAGGGAGTTTGGCTTCCGTGTTCCACCATTGGAGTGGGAATGGCTCAGTGATGATCTGACTGCCCCCTCACTGGTGCATATGAGGGAACTGAGGCCCAGGGAGCCATTGTGTCTAACACCACACAGCCCTGCGGTGGCAGGCCATTAGCCTTGGACTTGTATGAATCAGCATTTTCCCACAATTAATTCAGAATTACATCTTGAGATATAATCTGTATAAAACTCACCCCGGCACCTTCCGCTTCTTCTCCCATACTTAGTAATCAAACAGGTCCGATCTTGTAATTGCCTGAACTAACCGCTGGCACTGTTCACTTAGTTTCCTGGTATCTTTACATTGTTTCAGATAACTAACACCAGCAGTTGATTGGCCTGGAACCGGCCACTGGGAAATATTTTAACCCTTTATTTTCTGCTTCTCTATCATGGAGCCTTAAAACACACACTCACACAGTTACAGAAAGAGCTAATAAGCCGGGTTGCTAGACTTCTTACTTTAATAATCTAAATATAGTTTAGAAGTAAATATAATAATGCAGTTAATCTGAGCGAACTCAGGGGAAGGCCGGTTTATGTGAATAAAATGTCAGAATTACAGGATATTTAAGGAATGCAGTCCTCCTGCTGTGAGGTAAGTCCAGAAGCAAGATCACATTGAGTCAGGGAGACTAATAACCCATCATCATGACTTGAGGATGAGGGTGGAAGCAGGTGGGAGTTAGTTTATATGGTTTTAGAGATTTTTCTGGAATAGTAACATTTTAATTATTGTTTCACATCCATTCCTCTCTTTTTCAGGAGAATATGAAACTGTTACTCAGGTTTGTTTGTTTTACAGCTGTACTGATTTCATCTCTGGAAGCTGGTAAGTTAAGCATTTCCTCATTTTCTTGTCTGCTGGGAAGCCCTATTATTTAGGATACATGAAGTATCTTCCCTGACAGAGTCAGTTTTTTCTCCTCACCTGTTTCTGTTGAATCCCAGAACAGAGAGCCTCCTAATCACAGAACTGTACTATACATTCTTTCACTCGTGGTTTGGAAAATTGAGGCACAGTGAGGCTAAGAGCCCAAGCTCACATAGCCGTGTCAGAGCAGCAGCTAAGATCCAGGCCTCCAACGTCAAGGCCAGGCCTTCTTCAACTTGGTTGCCGATTGAGGAGTGTGATGGGAGATCCTGGCTTTCATTCAGAAGAGGTGTTAAGTGCAGCCATTAGGAACCCACAGCTGAGAACCATCCAGAGACATCTGGATGTCTCCATCCAGTTTCTTTGTTTTCGTTTTTAGCTTTTTTGTTTATTTATTTATTTTTTTTAGTCTGGCTTTTTTCTGTCAGCATAATTATTTTGAGATCTGTTCATATTGTATAAATGGATAGATATTATTTTATTACATGGTAGTTGTCTATTATATGGGTATTATCACCATTCATTTATCCACTTACATTTGATGGACATTTCAGCTATTTCTGGTTCTTGACTATTCAGAGTAAAGGTGCTATGAAAGTTAGCACTCAGGTCTTTGAGTGGACATATATTTTCATTCCTTTTAGGTCAATACCTGAGAGGGGGATGGCTGGGTCATATGGTAGGCTTATGCGAAACTTTTTAAGGACCTACTAAAGTGTCTTCCAAGCAGTTGTACTATTTTATATGGTCACCAGCAGTAAATGAAATTTCCACATCTCACCAACACCTGATATTGTCCACCTTTTTGATTTTAATACCTAAAGGAGTAATAGCTGTTTGTAATTTTAATTTCCATTTCTTGCTAATGACAATGAACTTCTTTTCATGTGCTTTTTTGCCATCCATATATTATAATTCACTTTCTCTCCTTTGTCTGGTTTATGCTAATAGCTTGTCTTTTTTAAAATAACTGCTCTCAGGCTTATGGTATCCATCTTTAACTTACTGCTGTCTACTTTCAAGTGATACTATACTATTTCACATATACTATAGAAAACTTAGAACAACACACATCTACTTCTCCCTTCTTGAGCTTTGTCAGATTGTTCCTATGTTTTATTTCTTTATATGTTATAAATATCACAATGCTTTTTAAATTTTTACTTTAAACATTCAATTAGTTTAAAGGAGATTTAATAATGCTATGGCTTGAGGTTCAGTAATCTTTTTTTTCTGTAGTGTCAAATCTGCCATTAATCATATCCTGTGTATTTTTTAAGTCAACTTTATAGTTTCCATCACTAGAAATTCAAGTTTTAAAAAAATATTTTTTATGTCTCAACATGTTTGATCTAGTATCTTGAAGAAATGGAACACAGTGGCAATAACTATTTTAATCTATTAATTCTGTGATCTGTATCATTTCTGGGTCAGTTTTGATTGATTTCTTTCATCTTTTTTTTTTTTTTGAAAGATTTTATTTATTTATTTGAGAGAGAGAGAGAGCATGAGCACAAGTGAGGGGAGGGATGGAGAGAGAGGGAGAAGCAGACTCCTTGCTGAGCAGGGAGATGGATGCTGGGCTGGATCCCAGGACCCTGAGATCATGACCTGAGCCAAAGGCAGACACTTAACTGACTGAATCACCCAGGTGCCCTGATGATTTTCTTCTCATCATTGATTGTGTTGTCCCACTTCTTTGTACACCTCATAATTTTTGATTGAATGCTAGACACTACAGATTTTACCATTTTGGGTGCTGGGTGTTTTCGTATTACTAAAAATGTTCTGGAACCGTTCTGCTACAGGGTTGTTACTTGGAAATAGTTGATCTTTTCAGGTTTTGCTTTTAAGCTTTATTAGTCAAGATCAGAAAAAGTCTTATCTTAGGCCTAATTTGCTCCATCTACAGGGTCCAAACCCTCTGGGTTCTCTACCTGATGTTCCATGAGCCATGAGGTTTTCCATTCCAGCTGCTGAGAACAGCAGTATGTGGTCCAGTGGGTACTCACTCCAATCCTTTTGGCAATCTTCACTCGGACCTTGGGTAGTTCCTTATGTGCTTATACTACTTGGTACTCAACTGAAACCTTGAGGGAGACTGTACAGATCTCCAAAACCCTCTCTCTGTCTATGTATCTATACAGCTCTAATCCCTTTCCTGCTCTGTCCTCCAAACTCATGGTTTACCAGATTTCCAGCTCTGTCTTCTCCATTCAGACAGAACCTTGGCCTTGTTTGTGTTTCCTCCTTGCAATGTCATGACCTAGAATCTTTCTCTAGGCAGTAACTTGGGAAAATTGTAGGGCTCACCTACTATGTTTTCCATCTTGCTGGCATTTCTGTCCTTTGTTCCTCGATGTTCCATGTCTTGAATATTTCATATACTTGGTCCATTTTTTCAGTTGTTCAGGTGATAAGGCAAATCTAGTCCATTTTGTACTGAAGCAGATCTCTCTCCTGCTCTATTAGCACCAATCTTTAGATGAATAAAGAGGGGATAAGAGAGGTTAGATAACTTTCCCAAGGGCACATGGATAGTAAGTGGCATGACTGGCTTTGGATATAAATCTTTCAGTCTTCCAAGATCATGCCTTTCATTATAAAGCTGTTACAACTCCTATATAATATGAATTGATGCATTTTGTAATTGATGCGTTTGAATGTCAATCTTGCATGAAGAAACATGGACGAATTTCTCACAGACGTTGCTTTCTCTTTTTCCCTTCTCAAGACCTGTGTGAGGTACGGACAGAACGAGTGATCTTAGTTTCATCTGCATGTGAAATTGGTGTTCGTTCCTGTTTTCTTAACCCAAATGAAAAGAAAGGCCCTATAATTTGGTATAAAAATGACAGCAAGACACCTATATCTATGGATGTAGGTGCCAGGATTCATCAGCACAAAGATGAACTTTGGTTTGTTCCCGCCATGGTGGAGGATTCGGGATATTACTTTTGCACCGTGAGGTAAGAAAGGAATCGATATGTTGCAAACATGTGTTCTGTGTGCCTGCAATAGGTAAGGACAGAAACGTCTGTAATTGTGCTGAATTCACCTGTTTTGATTGATTTTAGGAATGCAACTTACTGCCTCAAAATTAAAACAACCATTAAGTTTGTACAGCATGAACCTAACTTGTGTTACAACACAGAAGCTATCTTTACGCAGAGACTACCTGTTGCAGCAGATGGACAACTTGTGTGTCCCTATATGGACTTTTTTAAAGATGAAAATAATAAGTTACCAAAAATACAGTGGCAGAAGGTAATTTTCTATTCAATGTGGTGTTTTACTTTTCCAGCAAATAGAAGAGTTTTCTGACCTAGACAATAGGGTGAATGTGCAGAGTACTTTTTCATTTGACGTATTGGCTGCTTTTGCATGGTGAAACTTAATAGGAAATTTTTTTTTTTAATTGTAAGACTGCATACATTTAATAAGTCTTACTTTCTGTTAATTTTATTTAAAACTGGATTGGGTAGCATTCCACTTCGTGTTTTGATACCTTTGATCTACCTAGTTTGTTGGAATTTACATGGGGGGATCGTCTTGTTAGACGTTAAGAAATACAAAATAATTAATATCAACGCAGAAAGGAAGTACAGCATTACTAAGAAACTATGGCATTAGCATTCTGCCCTCAAACATGTTTTCCTTGCAAAGTAAATTTGTCTTCACTTGTCTTCAATGTGCAAGGCTCACAGGCATAAAGATTTAATATCCTGGAAATGTGATTGGGATTATTGAAAAAAAATACTATATTAAAACTTGTACACAAGAAACATAGTCATATATGTTCATATATGTGCTCAGCTTGCAGTTCATGTGTTTGGTGTAAAACAAGTTTATGATGATGATTATTATAAATTTTCCTGAGGTTTTCAATTCATATATGTATGAATATATATAAATATGTACATATACATACATACACACACACACCACATGCATAAAATATTTGCCAATATGGAAAAATGGAGTTTCTTTTGCTGGTAGGCTGGGGAAAATCATTAATTGGTTTTAATACTTCCTTCCTCTCCATCTTTCTAGGATTGCAAACCTCTGCTTCTTGACAATATACACTTTAGTGGAGTGAAAGATAGACTCATTATAGCAAATGTGACTGCAGCTCATAATGGGAAATATACTTGTGGAATATTCTACATGTACTTGGGAAAGCAATATCGTGTTACCCGGGTTATAGAACTGAAGACTATAGGTGAGTCATAGCTCCAATCCTAGGAGTTTGAATCTGGGAAGGCCCAGAAACCATGGTTCTAATGGTACCTTCATTGTTCAGGGAGAAACTAAACCCAAGAGAAGCTTGATAACTTGCCAAAGGTTGCATGGCTTTAGCTTTTTTGTTGCTAATACTGTGTACACGTTTTGCATTCCTGCTTCAGATGCAGGGCTAATTAGACAGACGGTAAGAGCTGTGTTTTCCAACTGAAGTAAGAGGCTTGTTCTTTGCCATGGCTGAAGATGGTTCTTCCAGAGAGCTCTGGGGTTCCTCGTGACTAGAGTATGAGGAAGGGCAGTCCTGAGTGCTTTTGCTTGGGGAGTCTGAGTGTCTAGCAGTAAGGAACATCTACTTGATCTTGATGGGGTGGATGCTAATGGGCTTTGGAATGTGTTGCATTCCTAGAGTGTACTGTACCTCTTGTTAGTTTCTTGTTAGCTCAGTTATTTTCCCTCTCTAAGCCTGTTTCCTCCTCTGTAAGATGATACAACCTTCCAAGGTTGTTAGGGGAGATTAGTGACCAAGTATGCTCAGTCTGTGATCATGTGCCTGGTGCAAAACAGAGGAGAAATAAATAGGCATTGATAATTATTCTTGTAAATATTCCCGAGGCTTTCAGTTCTCTATTAACTGTGTTTTACCTTAAAAGCGATTTTATAAGAAAATGCATTCCTACAAATAACCTGGGGATGGGCAGAATGCTCAGCCTTTCTGTAAATAGATTTTGTAAACTTTCAGTAATGAGTTCCTCTAACCATGACTTTAAAAGTTAAAGGCACCTTATTAGTGGTTATGCTGGGACAACCGGCATAAATGAGTACTGTCTCGGGTAGACCCTAAACACAATCACCCTACATAGAGCTAAGTTTTCTCAATTCTCTAATAACTTATATATTTCAAACATTAATTTTATTGAATCAAAATGAATTCCTTGCCTAGTTCCTACAAGCATTAGTGAATTATAATTTTCAACGCTCCTTACATTACAACCATCTTAGCAGCCTCTCTGTGGCTGTGGGGTAGCTCTGGTTTGTCTTTCTTGACATACAGAAACCAGACCAGCAGACAGAATTTTAGAGAGAACTAGGGAATTTTTTTAATAGGTTAAATATATTTTAAATACTCTCTGTCTTTTCTGATCCCTTTTATAGAAATAATATACTTCAGAGAAGAGGTCATATTTTGTTTTCAAAGAACAGACTCAGAAATATCAATTGAGCATCTACTATATACCAGGCACTGTTCTAGGTATACATTAGGGAACAGAAGAGACAAGATCCTGCCTTAATGGAGGTTATTATTATTATTATTATTATTATTATTTTTTTTACTGTGGTGGAATACTGGGCATTTCAGTTCATAGTTTCTCAGGCTTGGCCACAGATGGACCTTCGAAGTCAATCTTCTTGGAAATAAAACACAGAGGAATTTCTGGAGCTCCTTGATACTCTTCTGCCCTTTTAAATAAATTCTGCCAAATCGCCTGGCATTGCACTCTTGGGTCATGACTACAGTTACTAAAGAGAAGCAGGTCTAGTGCGGGGTGGTCTCTCCGGTTCACGCATCATCCACGGAAGTCCCTCTCCACAGCTACTTGCTGTTCCTGACTTGCTTCGCGAGAGGCACTTGTCTAGAGTCCCTGTGATGTGTGTGTTTGTAGCACCAAACTCAACGGGTTGCGCAGGGCCCAGGCTTACCAGCAGGCATTGTGCTTAGCCGTGACATCCGCATTGGCCTCTTTCCTTCATCTCTTGTCTTCTGTCTCCTGCCATCTACGCTTTGGGCACGCGGGGGCATATCTGGCCCGCCGCCACGTGGTATGTCTTCGCACATTTTGCTAACTGTTGTCATCAGTTGAGATTCTGATCTGTAAGAGACGAAGAAGCCCTGTGGATGTTTGTCTTTCAGAAGAATACAAGCCTCTGAGGCCTGTGATTGTGAGTCCAGCTAACGAGACGGTGGAAGTAGGGCTGGGTAAGTGGGTTCCAATCACCCTATGCTGAAATCATTATTTTGAACTCAAGATTAAGATAAACTCTACCTTTGCTACACGTCACCAAAACCGTTTACTGAGTAGATCTGTAATTAGTGGGAAAATAAAAACAAAGTATGTCTTTAAATGTTTCTTTCGATTTCCTGCCTCTCCTAGCAGAAATCTAGTCACATCTGATTTGCCCGCCCTCACTTTCCTGTGGATGTTTCCATGAAAACATCAGCCAAAGGCTAAGTTCAACAGGACTAGAAATGAGAAATGTAATTTATCTGACTGGCACGGGATGGATTTCTTAAGATCAGAACTAAGCTTTTAGACTGATGGGTAGGATAACAGACCAAAAAGGAAAAGTATTTTTCTAGAATGACCACCAAGTCAGTGAAATTTTTTTATTTCAAGAGCAAAGACATAATCCTATAAGCATCCAAACCTACTTTATACAATCCAGTAACCACTAGCCATATGTGGCTATGTACATGTAACTTTAAATCAAGTAAAGTTAATTAATTTAGTTCAATTAAAAAATAGTCCTTCACTATTTTTTAGCCGTATTTCAAGGGCTTAATAGCCATATGTGTCCAGTGATTATTGTATTAGCACAAATATAGAACATTTCTTCCATCACCGAATGTTCTCTTGAAAACCACTGGTCCAAACATAAAAACAGATTTTGGTATCAGAGGATCAAAAGCCAGGCTGAAATGCAAAGTTCTTTTCTGTAAAAGTCACTGCATGAAGACAGTGAATAGCTGTACAGAGATTAGAAGGTAAACATTTGTGACCACAGAGATCACAAGTAGGCAGAGAGGCAGGTGGAGGGGGCGGTGCGGGGGAAGCAGGCTCCCTGCCAAGCAGAGAGCCTGATGCAGGGCTCCATCCCAGGACCCTGGGATCATGACCCGAGCCTAAGGCAGAGGCTTTAACCCACTGAGTCAACTAGGCGCCCCCCTTCTTAGTTCTAATGCCACAGATCTATTATATATCTGTTGCTCTACCACGGCACTTTGCCGGGCCACAAACCATTGCAATATCTAGGATTTTCTTGCCCTCTCCCCACGAACCACTTTTTGCCCTGTTGGCCATAGCTTCTGTTAAGAATTCATGTTCTAGAGGCATACATTTTAGGCCTCTGAAGTTCAGGTGGCATTGATCTCCAAATCTAAAAAATAGCTTCATGTTAGGAAATAATTATTTTAATATACCCCGTTGACCAGATGCACACGTCACCCTGTCACGTGATTATCCTGAAGGGTGTCAAACAAGCTTATGCTAAGGTTCAATAGCAATAAAATGACTTAGAAAAATAGGAACTGGGGGATACTTCCTTAACTTAATAAATAACATCGATTCAAACTGATAGTCCCTAATATTCTTAATGGAGAACCACACTAGTGTGAGACGTTCTACAGGCATAGACCCTCCAAGCAAAGATGCCCAAATAACCAGCATTGCTTCACATATTCTAGAAGTGCCCCGTTGATACCATCATACATAAAAGAACCAAGGCATGCTTACTGTAACAGGGAAAAGGACTTTATTATTTTCAGATCATATAATGTATGTATGTATTTCAAGAAAGTTACCGGGGAGAGGTTAGAATTAATATATTATTAATTGGCCAGATGCAAAATTAATATTCTAGGTGTAGCGGAAGTCCCTTCAGCTGCGGTGGTGTGCTGTGGGGAAGAGATGGATTTCTAAGTCCCCGAGCGAGGTCCTGCCTCCCTGAGACCACTACTGCGAGGAGGAGACTCTGGGTGAAGCCGTCATCACTGTGTTTGACCAGGAGGCAAAACCTTTAACTGGGGACTTGAGGGATAAGAAGGAAAGAGTGTACATTAAACTCAGTCACTGGACATGGTGGCAGTGAGATTCACTTTGAAGTGACGATGGCGGACGACACATCTCAGGAAACTCAAAGAATCATACTGTCAAAGACCGGATGTTCCGTGAATTCACTCAGGTTTTTCTTTGAAGGTCAGAGGATTGCTGATAATGACAGTCCAGGGGAGCTGGGAATGGAGGAAGATGTGATTGAAGTTTCTCAGGACCAAACAGGGAGGTCATACCACAGTTTAGATATTATTTTTATTTTTTTCTTCTTTCCCCTCAATCCTCTTTTAGTTTCAAAAATAATTCTTTTGTCTTGTGGTGTTCAAGATGGAATTGAAGACTGGCCCCTTACCTCCTTAAGGCATCTGGTGGTGTGAATTCTGGTGTCCATTAGTCATTATCATTTGTTTTCCTGGCGTTGAGTTTTGGTGATGAAACCTCAGTTCCTGTCGCCCTCTCCTTTTTACAAATTACACATGTGCACAGAAGGGCCACCCTTTTCCAGGACTGTGCGTCTTCAGGCTTGTGGTAAATAACTCGCCAATGCTAGTGTTCATAATGGCTTTCTGACTGGCCCTGAAATTCTGGCTCGTGATTACTTCCCTCCTGGACATGTGGCTTTCAGTAGGAGATGGAAGTTTCTCAGAGAACTGAGCTGTGGAAAAACGGTCTTTCCTTAACTTAAAGCTGCTTTTAAAATTTGAGGGTCTGGCCCCAAAGAAGAGGAATATTGGGCTGAAGTTGAGGGGCCGTAGAGATGGTGAAGATAGGGACTAACTCCAAAGATGGCTTCACTGAAGATAAACCATTTTAAGATTAAAGAAAGAGCTTGTTATAAGACTCCCCGAAAACTTGTGATTTTCATAAGTAATTAATAAAGTTTTTCATGCAGAAGTGTATGCAACAGAGCACTGCTCTTTTTATTTCATTTGTACTTTTTGGCCTGGGTATAGGGGTTTTAAATGGACATTGTCTATACCAACTTCATTAAAATAAAAATATTTGTAGAAGCAAGCAAATGACTAAAATTGATATTCTAAAATGGTAAACGTGTTTGGCAATAACCGGCTAGAGAACATAATGGGCAAAGAGATCCCATTTGCAACAAGTCATAGAGATGTTTATAAAATTCTTAGCAAAATCTTTCAAAAATATATAGGATTTATAGGAGAGAAAAAAAATGCACAAATTCTGACCTATCTCTCAGGAAAATTGAGATTTAAAGCTTACATATCGACAAAGAGTGGGAGTGATGTTATTTCCAATGGGGAGAAAATTTGTTCTTAGTGGAAAATAATCTAAAGCGATATACTGTGTCTGTGGTATTAAAAATTCACAGGGAGGGAAGCAGTTAGGATAAAAATGTCTTAAAAGGCTCCAAAGGGGAACAATAATGAAAACAATCTTGAGAAACACCGAATTAAGGAAAACTGTAATAGAAATGTCTATTTTTTCTTACATGGAAAACTGGAAATTGTAAAGATAGCAACTCTTAAAATTATAGCTTTAATGGAACTCCAATAAAAATATGAATGGGCACAAAAGTTGGCAAGTAGTTCTAAAATACACCCAGAAGATTAAAATGATGAGATTATTAAGATAATCTTGGGAAGAAGAGCTCTAAATGATACTAACATTTACCCTAACACTGCAGTAATTAAGATTTGTGGTACCAATGGCATCAGTATACGCATTCAAATCAAGAAAATCTCAAATAAATAATTTATTTTCTATAAAAGTGGCATTACAAATTGTAATTCAATAAGTGGTTCTGAAATGATCAATCAGCTATTTGGACAAAAGCCTTAGGTTAAATCTCTCCCTCACACCATACCCAATTATATTCTAGATAAAGAACTAAAACAATCAAAACAATAAAACAATGAAAACATTTTATATACCTCAATGAAAATGTACATAGATATTTTCCTGATTTTAGAAAAAAATTGTGAGAACAGATAAAACAGAAATTTGACCAAGTAAAAAATAAAAATATCTATACCCAAAGAATTTCCATAAACAAAAATAGAAGGAAAGCAGTGAACTCTGAACAGTATTTGGAATAGTTTTCATGCATGATAAAGAGTTAATATCATGGCTATTATAAAGAGCTCCCACACAGCAGTGAGGTTTATATGAGACTCAATTAGGTAATGGCATAACAAGCAGTTCTTAAAGGCAAATGAATACTAAACTTATAAAGGACACGTTCATTCACCTGATTTCAAGCAATGCTGTTGAAAATTTAAATGGAATTTTTTTTTTTCTCTTGTTGGTCAATGACCAAAAGTATTTGGAATCTGGGGGCTAAGGGGATAAAAAGCACTTGTTTACACTACCGGACAAAGTGATGTTATGTATAGTCTCCCTTGGGTGAGAGGGGCTGGCTTTTTAAATCTGTACTTCCTGATTCAAAGTAGTGCTTCAGTATATGTACAATATTGATGTGCAAGAATAGTCATTAGAATTTTAATCCTAACAGTGAAAAAATTAGGAACAAATTGTGTTTAGCAATAGGAAAAGCATCAATCCTAATGTATTTGTATTATGGAATAGTAAACGGCCTTGAAACAGACTATTTTGGAAGGCTGATCTCATGAGCAGGAATTCCCAGGTTACAATATTTACAAATAGTAGACCATGACACTCCATTTTTAAAATTGCATGTGTACACAGAGAAGATGAGGAATTAGAGGCATGAAGTTATTAATCACAGTTATCTCCAAGTGGTGGGTTTAAGGGCAATTTTCCTTTTTTTTTTGGTACTTTTCTATAATTTAAAATCTTTACTCAATGGCCATTTATTAATCTAGATAGATCAGATAAAAGTCAATTGCTAAGATTAAAACTACATTGCTTTGCAGGATCCAAGCTGCAATTAATCTGCAATGTCAGTGGCCTGTTTAGTGACTCTGTCTTCTGGAAGTGGAATGGGTCAGCAATTGACGAGGACGACTCCGTGCTGGCAGAGGAATATGTGCTGTAAGTATGCTAAAATGTGCAACAGAGAAGTTGTGGTATTAAATTTCATGTCGTGAAATGTATACAACCTTGATGGTTTAGTTGGATAGCAAAAGTTAGTTGATGGGCCCTCGGTGCTTTGCTGTCCCTATTGAGTTTTGCTGAGCTGAACAGGATTTATAAGATCTTCTACACTTCAGGTAAAAGTATGTGTCATTGTGGTGCAAATAACAGACCACTTGGAAGGCTTTCTCTTGAATTTGGATAAATATGTTACAACATTCCAATGAAGCAACTTTCCTGAATTACCCTTCATGTTTTTTTTTTCTTTTTTTTTAATTGTGTTATGTGAGTCACCATACAGTACATCATTAGTTTTTAATGTAGTGTTCCATGATTGTTCCACGATTCATTGTTTGCATATAGCACGCAGTGCTCCATGCAATCCGTGCCCTCCTTAATACCCATCACCGGGCTAGCCCATCCCCTCACCTCCCTTCCCTTCTAAAACCCTCTGTTTGTTTCCCTGGAGTCCACAGTCTCTTGTGGTTCGTCTCCCACTCCGATTTCTCCTCCTTCATTTTTCCCTTCTCCGAATGTCCTCCATGTTATTCCTTATGTTCCACAAGTAAGTGAAACCATGTGGTAATTGTCTTTCCCTGCTTGACTTACTTAACTCAGCATAATCCTCTCCAGTCCCATCCATGTTGATGCAAAAGTTGGGTATTCATCCTTTCGGATGGCTGAGTAATAGTCCATTGTGTATATGGACCACATCTTCTTTATCCATTCGTCTGCTGAAGGGCATCTCGGCTCTTTCCACAGTCTGGCTATTGTGGACATTGCTTCTATGAACACTGGGGTGCATATGGCCCTTCTTTTCACTACATCTGTATCTTTGGGGGTAAATACGCAGTAGTGTAATTGCCAGGTCATAGGGTAGTTCTATTTTTAATTTTTTAAAAAATATTTTATTTATTTATTTGACAGAGATCACAAGTAGGCAGAGAGGCAGGCAGAGAGAGAGAGAGGAGGAAGCAGGCTCCCTGCTGAGCAGATAGCCCAATGTGGAGCTCCATCCCAGGACCCTGGGACCATGACCAGAGCCGACGGCAGAGGGTTTAACCCACTGAGCCACCCAGGCACCCCTATTTTTAATTTTTTGAGGAAACTCCATGCTGTTTTCCAAAGTGGCTGCACCAATTTGCATTTCCACCAACAGTGTAAGAGGGTTCCCCTTTCTCCACATCCTCTCCAACATTTGTTGTTTCTTGCCTTGTCGAGTTTGTGTTCTGGTTTTTTAAAAAGTTGAGGAAGGACTCGTTAAGTGGGACCAAGAAGCAGGGGCTCCACGTCTCAAGTCTCTAGTGGCTTTCTGTTTCCTCTCTAGGGATCAACTCCCGACTCCTTAGCATTCTCCTTGGCCATCTGCTCCAGGCTCCTCGTCTTATGCATTCTTCTCCGTGCCCTCATGGTGACTAGAATGCACATCCATCTTTTTCTTCTTGGAAGCTGGTAATTTTACTTTGTTCTCTGCTTCTGAGTCTTACAGACAGTTGTCTTTGCGCTATAAAATCTCAGATCAGTATTGCTAACAGCCTGGTTATTATTCCTGTGCATAGGGCTGGTGATAATTTCTGCTGCAATTCATGTGGTGAATAAAGAGATAAACCATGTATATGTGTCTCAGTTATAGTTTTCCTTAAACAAATTCATTTATTCTTTCTCTTTTGAACAGAGTAAAAAATCCTTCAGAAAGAGGAAAGGATACAGTCATCGACATTCTTAATATTTCAAAAGTGGAAAGTAGGTTTTATCTATATCCATTTACTTGTATAGCCAGGAATACAGATGGCCTAAGTTCAGCATATATCCAATTAATACATCCAGGTAAACAACAGAATATTTGAAATGCAGTTTTGGTTTACTGTTGCAAGAGTCTATGACCTTGAGGTTCGCAGTGCTGTTTCCTCTGCCTGGAATGCTTTTGGAGTCCTCTTAACCTGGCGAACTTCTATTCTTTCACTTGTCAGCTGTACCATTTCTTCTCCTGGAAGCTTTCTGTCCTTTTGCCTGCCCTTAACAAGCTCTCTGACCAAACAGACAAGGTTAGTGCCTCTGTTATATACTTTCAGAGAACCCTATGCCCCTATCACAGTATCTGTCATACTTAGTTTTCTTTATTGATTTAAATTCTATGATGGTGCTGACCACTTATCTTAACAGTCATTCTATTTCCAGAGCTAGTAGTGACTTAAATCTGGCATATCATAGGTATCTAATGAACATTTTAAGTAAATGACAGCATAATGGACAGGGGAAACCTAAACATCCACTTTCCAGAGAGGATGTCAGAAGTTACTGGGTTTTTTTCAATTATATAATCAAACACAATATTAAAAATATTTGTGAAATATTTTGATTATTTGTAGTTGGATTAAATATAGGGTATTTATGAATGTGTACATGGGAGAAAATTTAAAAACCTATAGACAAACTATTAGAATTAGAAATGAATTTAACAAGATCACTAGTGCCTCTCTACATATAAACACATATGTGTACATACATACAGTATTTCTATGTAGTCAATAAATACCAACAACAAATAGAAATTAAACTTAAAATATTAAATTTATAATAGTATCAAAAATTATCAAATACTTAGGATGAATCTGACAAATGCTATTTAAGACCTCTGTGATACAAACTAAAAAAAGTCATTGAGATAAATTAGAAAAGACCTAAATAGGTAGAAGGATATACAATGTTCATAGATTGAAAGACTTTGTATTATAAAGATATCAGTTCCCTCCAAATGAATCTATAGATTCAAAAAAATTCCAACCAAAATTCCAACAGTATTTGTGCAAGTTTGGGTATGTGTTTATGTGGGTGTGTTGTTGTGGGCAGGTTTATTCTTAAAGTCATATGGAACTGTTAAGGGGCAAGAATAATCAAGGTGGTATTGAATAAAAATAGCAAATCTGGAAGATTTACACTATAGGTATCATGATTTTGTGTGAAACTACCATAATTAAGGCTATCAGTGTGAACTATTCATTGGGCCAATTGGATATTGGTCTGAAAAATGGTATATATCTTGATTCCTATTTCATATTTAAATCAGCTGCAGATGGATCCAAGACCCAGATTGGGAAATTAAAATAATAGGGCTTTTAGACTCTCTTTTCTGGATGCCTACATGAGCCCTGACATTTAGAAGGCACTTTTTTCTTCTTTTTTCTCTACACCACACCCCCTTACCTTTCCTTCACCTTGCTACTCTGCCCCTCCTCCACTGTAATCATTGGAGGGAATGAAGCTAGAAGAATGTGGAAGAGTGACACATTCTGTTTGGCATTCCTAAGCCCCTTCTTTCCTTTCCCCTAGACTTCAGCTTTCCTGATTCTTATACCTCCAGAAACTTCTGTAGGGTTTTGAGTGACTTTGACTTGTTTTACTCTGAAGTGCTCTATCCTATGTGCTTTGGCACTTTTTCTGTGTTATTGCATATAGCGGACCCTTGACTAACATGGGAGTCAGGAGCATCAACACTTCTATCCCAGTCAAAAATTCGAGTATAACTTCGAGTCCCCAAAACTTTACTGCTGATAGCTTGCTGTTGACCCCATAAACAGTTAATATATATTTTGTATGTTATGTGTATTATATACTACGTTCTTACTATACGGTAAGCTAGAAAAAAGAAAATGTTATTAAGAAAATCATAATTTATAGTAACTGTATTGTAAAAAAAAAAAAAAAAAAGTATAAATTGACCCATGCAGTTCAAACCTGTACTGTTCAAGGGTCAACTGTATTGTAAAATTTAGGTGGAAATTTAATACAGTGCACCTCAGTTTTATAAAGTATCAATTCTAGATGGCTTTGTACATTAGTATGTTTTATTAAGTAATAATAATGAATATGTTAATATTATCTGGGATTTGGGATGGCAGAACAGTCCCAAAAATGGTTTCTCTGAGATGATAATATTTAATTTGGTATGCCCAAATTTTTAATTCTTTTGGTTCTAATATCTTTTTTTTCCTCTTCTCTGCTATAGTGCCTGATTTCAGGAAGCACACGATTGGTATATTTGTCATGTTAACAGTAATAATTACATGCTCTGTTTTCATCTACAAAATCTTCAAGGTTGACATTGTGCTTTGGTACCGGGATTCTTGCTATGATTTTCTCCCCAAAAAAGGTATGATTTTGTATTCTGGGCAACTTTTCCTTGTTGGAGAGAGGGGGTAGCTAAGAGATAACAGAAGATAACTGAGAGGCTTTTTACTTAAATTTTAAAATGAAAAGTGGCATATACAAGCATAGTAGTTACTCTTACATGTCATTATAGTTTGGGGACTGAATAGGCTAAGTAGGATTGTTTGCAAGTTCCTGCTTTAGTGTTCCTCACAGTGGGATAAACAGGCATTTCAGAGCATTTGTTTGCCGGTCCAGTTTAGTACTGTTGAGGGTCGGCCCCTTGCTGGGTAGGACATAGATGACCCCATGATCTGCCTTCAGAGGAAAGAAACGATGGTTTTCATGCATCAGGGAAGCTCTCGCTTTCTCTTTTGTTTAAACCTTGCAAAAAAAAAAAAAATTTAATACTACGATACTACATAAAAGGAAGAAATGGATAGAATTCAGGGCTGAGACACAGAGAAGAAGATAAGACCAGGTTGCTAAGGATAGTTCCCCGACCAAGAGGAAAAGAATCTCTGCACATGAGGCAGCCATTCAGTAATAAAGAATACATTCAGAGTGAGACACAATAAAATAGAGACTTGTAGGAGAGCGCCACTTTAAAAAGTTACTGTATTTTTGGTACAGCTGCTTTATTCATACACTCACACACACACAAATTAATAATTCATTCTGAACTGCATGTTGGGGAGACTGACGTTACCAATTCTTTCCTTTTTTTGGATCTAAATATTTCACATTTTCTCCTCTAGCTTCAGATGGAAAGATCTATGATGCTTACATACTATATCCAAAGACTCTTGGGGAAGGGTCCACCTGTCCCTCGGATATTTTTGTGTTTAAAGTCTTGCCTGAGGTCTTAGAAGAACAGTATGGATATAAACTGTTCATTTATGGAAGGGATGCCTATGTTGGAGAAGGTGAGTGTGTCGTGGAAAAGAGTGAAAGTCTTTGTTGTAAAAATAATCAAGAAATTAAAAATAGAGCTTCCCTATGACCCTGCAATTGCACTACGGGGTATTTACCCCAAAGATACAGATGTAGTGAAAAGAAGGGTTATCTGTACCCCATGTTTATAGCAGCAATGGCCACGGTTGCCAAAGTGTGGAAAGAACCAAGATGCCCTTCAATGGACGAATAGATAAGGAAGCTGTGGTCCATATACACTATGGAATATTCTGCCTCCATCAGAAAGGATGAATACCCAACTTTTGTAGCAACATGGACGGGACTGGAAGAGATTATGCTGAGTGAAATAAGTCAAGCAGAGAGAGTCAATTATCATATGGTTTCACTTATTTTTGGAGCATAACAAATAACATGGAGGACATGGGGAGATGAAGAGGAAAAGGGAGTTGAGGGAAATTGGAAGGGGAGGTGAACCATGAGAGACTATGGACTCTGAAAAACAACCTGAGGGTTTTGAAGGGGCGGGGGGTGGGAGGTTGGGGGAGCCAGGTGGTGGGTATTAAGGAGGGCATGGATTGCATGGAGCACTGGGTGTGGTGCAAAAACAATGAATACTGTTACGCTGAAAGGAAATTAAAAAAAAATAATAATAATTGCTAAAGTTAGGTTTTGTCTTTCTAGAAGGACCATAGTGTAGGTATACAGATTTGGCTGTTTTAAGAACCTCCTCGGTGGTGTGTGATGGCGATTTTCACATCTATTAAATGCAAAATACTTACTTTTCTCATATTTTGCTGGTAGAATAATTGACTAAGTTTTATTTAGTTTTGGAAAACTTCACAGCTAGTTAGATCCAATAGTTACTTTCCACGGGAGACAGTACCACAGGAGTGGAAGAAATCAAATGGTTTAAGATTTTAAAATTTTTGCCAGAAATAGATTCTGAGTCCTAAATGAAATATTCAGCTTTTGTGGGTCAGGTCTTGAGTTGGTCTATAAAATCAGAAACTTCTTTCATCTTAATTAAGATGAGAAAAAAGAGGGGGCATCTGGGTGGCTAAGTTGGTTAAGCAGCTGCCTTCAGCTCAGGTCATGATCCCAGGGTCCTTGGATAGAGTCCCAAAGAGGCTCTCTGCTTCTTCCTCTGCCCCTCCCATGCTCATGCTGTCTCTTTCTTTCTCATATAAGTAAATCTTAAAAAAAAAAAAAAAAAAAAAGGATGGGAAAAAAGAGCATTAGAAGACAAAGGGGATGGGATGGGAAGAACCTTGTGGGGTTTTGGTTTGGGAGAGAATGATTATTAATTGAAATTTTACTCACTCTTACTGTGCTTCATGTTTTTAGACATTGTTGACGTCACTAATGAAAACATAAGGAAAAGCAGAAGACTGATTATCATTTTGGTCCCAGAAGCAACAGGATTGGGCTGCCTGGGGAATTCATCTGAAGAGCAGATAGCCATGTACAATGCTTTTGTTCAGGATGGAATTAAAATTGTCCTGCTCGAACTGGAGAAAATCCAAGACTATGAGAAAATGCCAGAAACCATTAAATTCATCAGGCAGAAACATGGGGCCATACGCTGGTCAGGGGACTTTAGAGAGGGGTCATGGTCTGCAAAGACAAGGTTCTGGAAGAACGTCAGATACCACATGCCAGTCCAGCGGCAGCCCCCTTCATCCAAACCCCAGTTTCTGTCCTGGGCCACAAGGCCAGACTCTAAGAAAACGCTGCAGAAGGAGGTGCAGGTGCCTCTCGGGTAGCTTGGGAGAAGCTCGGCCCAGAGTTCCTTGGGTGACTCCCGTCTTCGGGCATTGTAGGCTGGGCTGTGCCCCCACTGACCGTACAGTCATAAAATGCACCTGTGGCGTCCCTTATCCCTGAGGTCATCTGGAATCAGATCGTTAAGGGAACAGAATGTGGTGGTGATAGCAGGTCAGCCCAATTCAGAACCGAGGACTTGGAAATCCTTTCAGAAAGCAACAGATGCCCTGCCTGAGTTTTTGGACTGCTAACAGGCACCGGGACCGCAAATGAGAGGGAAGAACTAGCAGGAAATATTTAGCATCTATAAACGGTTTTATGAAGTTGTCTACAGTCCAAGGGCGGGTCCGTGGCCCAGTTCGGGTACTGCCTGGTCCCTTGCCGCCCCCCCCCCCACTGGCTTTCCTTGGCAAAGTGAGACTGCTATTTCACAGATGAGGGTAGGAGAACTTTCCATTTGCTTTGCACTTTCCATATGCATCGACAGCCGGCTCTCCTTTTCCAAAGACCGCATTTCATTTTACAGACATTTATAACTCTCATTTCGGTGAAAAGAGGGATTTGTCAGGATTGCATGTTTTTGAAATAACCTTAGCTTTGTGCTGGAGAGAGAGAGACTAAAAAGCAGGAATTGCAGAGACCTGATCCAGCTCTGCATGCTTCCCTCGCTGGAATGACCATTCTGTTCTACCCTCCTCTTCTGAGTTCCACTTGACTCATCGCTTCTTTGGAAAGACAACTTCCAGGTCACTTCCTCCTCCTCTCTGCCACACACCTGGCCCACAGATTGATTAGCTGTCCTTCATGAAGTGCTGCTCTAAGCTCCTCCTGCTCTTACTAAAAGCCCTCTGCAGGGCTCCTCCTGGTTGAGGAGCCAACACCCTATTTCCCCAGTCTGTCTGCATGGCTTTTCCCTCACCATCCTGCTGTGTGAATTCCCAGGTCAGCCTCGTGTGCCTTCATGCCCACCACTCCTGCTCCCTCATACCTGCTTCTCCTCCTGTCTCCTCTGACCAGAATGCCTTCTCGAATTTTCTCCAGCGGACCAGAGTTTTATGAAATTTGAAATTTACTCCAGCTCTGTTTCTTTAAGAGATTTCCCCAGGAAACTGCACCAGCTCTCTCTTCTGAGTGTGGTAGCACTTAGTCTGTTGGCTGTCACTTTATGAGAAGGCGTTCTGTCTCCAGCCAGAAACTCTGCTCCTGGCTGGGGAGGCTGTGGGTGTGTCTCTCCTTGTCTGGGTGCCTTCCAAGTGATTTGCCTACTTGACGTAGATTTGGGTAGGGCTTTCTTATTGAAAAATGCCCACAGATGATCAGATTTAAGTTTCATAATCATCCTAATGTTATAGAGAGAGCAAGTGACCTATTTTTAAAAAAAATACATTCTTAGTGCTGTCGAACCTAGGGCTTACAATGGTGTTGCTGGCTTTGAGTGTAGTAGTGTCTTGAACACTTGACTTCGGGTCAATAAATGTCCCTTTCAGTCCTACCCCTAGCACTTTTGTGAGAAGAAATGATTGTTTTCTAGGATGGTGGCTGAGTCTAGGAAGGCTTGCATTTAAGAAACCAAATTCTAAACTTCTGAGTGTTGGAATTGACAAAAATTCTGGTTAGGTTTTCTGAAAACTATTTCTGCTTTCATATATTCTTTCCTGAAAGGTAAATATTTCTTAGTGAATTAAAATTGAAGGCAAGTTAGATTTTTGGTATAGGAAACTATTTTTTAGAACTTGATGGTACTCCTTAGAGAAACCCCAGAAAACTGAAAAGCCAAGTTCACATGCCACTTGCCCCATTTTAAAGGTTTAAACATGGACAGGCCCTCTGTTTTTTTATTTTTAATGTTCATTGTTACGAGTGAACACAAACTGGCACAGTGTATCCCCGTCCCCCACAGTGATCAGAGCTAGACAGAAACAGCTGAATGCTCTGCCTCTTCTCTTTCCACCTGCTTTTTCTTGGATCCGATCTGGCAGCCTCGACTAATAGCACTGTTTTGGACCTGCTGTTTCCAAAAAAACAGCCTTATTTTTATTTTGGCTGGGGTTTGGGGCTGTCATGGCCAAAAGGCCTATCAGCTACTTAAAACCTAGGTTGCTGGTGATTTTTAGTCTGTCATCTATAAAATACACTTGCGTATGTAGCGCCAAGGAAGCCAATTCTGAAACCTAGACTTAGCAGCAAAGTTCGCGAGAAAAATGAGGAGCGGGGAGACCGACCAAGAATTACCAGTGGCATTGCACCTGGAGTTCAGGGAGGGACAAGAATCAAGGGATGTGCCTGGGACCAGGAGGAGCCCCAACAGGAAAGCGCATGTCACCGTGTCATTCCCATTTCCCAGGGGAGGATTCCGGAGGAAGGAGCGACACTCTTAGTTCTCTGGGAACTTCCTTTGTTTTATTGTTTCCCCCCCAAACCTCTTTTAGGCTCTTCCTTTCAGGCCTTCCTCATTAATTAGATTTTACTGCATTATCTGATGGTGGTCAGCCTAAGTGTTCAAAGGAAACTTTGCCAACAAAGCCTTTCGCTTCCAGTAGTGAAAACTGGTTTAGCAGAATTTGTATTTTCCTTCTCCTACCGCCTCTTTGTGTATTTGTGATAAAAGAAAAGGTATTGAGCCATTTTTTCCAGTGGTATTTTTGATAAATTATATTTTTACTGGTTAATAATGAAGGGTTTTTAGAAATGTCTTTATACGATTATGAGCAGATACCAAGTATTTTTATACAGTAAAACACCTGATTCATGTACAGCATGTATCACTGGTCAATGGATTGTTATTTTCCAATAAAATTGGCAAAACCTAGTATTGAATATTCTCATGAAAATCTGTTTGTGCACAGCCATGTCCTGGGCTTACCGGGCCACACTCCCAGGTCTGATGTAGGGAGGGGACCCCTGGTGCCTGGGGAATTTGGAGGCCATTAGCCAGCCACTGAGCCCTGAATCCCATCTGTAGCTTCAGGGGCAGACTACCTGTCTCCTTGCTTCTAAAATGGATTAAAATGTGAGTTTGTTTTTTTTAGTGATTTGCTGTTTACTAGTTCAAAAAAGTTAAGGGCAGCATTTGTATGGACTTTTTTACATTTTACAAAAAGTTTCTGTTGCTTTTCTCCTTTGACCCTGGAAGTGAACGAAATCAGCCAACATGGTGTCCACAGCGCAAGCTCACAATGCTCAGGAACTCCAGGGATCAGAGAGAGCCCTGGCCCGTCAGTGCTGCTCTGTTCTCATCTCCCAGCTCTTCTCACAAGCAGGTGGCTCTGGCAGCACCCAGGGAGCACGCCCGAGGGAGGTGGGTCAGCCCAGAGTCTGAAGGCCCACCCTAGATTCTGTCTCCTCCTTGGTGTGCAAATGTGGACAAACTATCAGAGCCCCAGTTTCCTCACCTATAAAATGGGTATAATATCTCCTTCGTAGAGCTGTGAAAGGATTAGAAGGATGAGGTATCTTCTGATAGGCACTGTGCCTGATGTACAGCAGGTCCTCAGGAAATGGAAGCTTGGTTAGTAGCAATTCTGTGAATAAACTTCAGTCATATTAGAATCTGCAAATAGAATGGAATTGCATAAGAGAATCTGCAAACCAGAAGTGGCAGCTGACACCGAGCGAAGTGGGAAGTCAAGCCATTGGAAAAATAAAGTACTAATGCTCAGATGAAGCTGTGCGACACAGAGGCCAAGAGCCCTGCTCCCATCAGCCCCCAAGTGACTGTGTCACTGAGGAGTGAGGACCGGCATTACTGTGTCACCGAGGACCAGTGACTGATGCTCATTCACACTGGCCCTCTGCTGCCCAGGGACTTGAAGGGATGTCTGGTTTCTAAAGAAAGGGATTTCACACATTCCTGAAGGATTTCTCAGTAAAAACGAAAAAATGCAAGAACCTCTGAAAATTTGGGGATCAGCTATCCAGAAAACTTGCCTCTACAGAATTTCTTACGGGAAACATTCAGAGAGCTTTCCACCAGATTTTGGTTATTTTACCACTTAATATGTTTTTTAACAAACAAATATGTCAATGCTAACAATCATTTAAAGAAAATATTTAAAAGTGGGTTGTTGTTTTTTTTTTTTTTTGAATGAGGATTTTTATTCTCTTTACCAAATAACTTCCTCAGAATACGGTTTGTTTTGCTTTGTTTTTTGTTTGTTTTTTGCTCTTTGGAAATATTTCTTAGTTGGGATGTTATCTGGTAGAAAAATTCCTGGTTATAAATTCCTGCACTGTCATAGTTTTGAAGCGAGAGCAAAGCACTTTGTTGGTTTGTACCTCTGTTTTCTCATCTGTGAAATAGGACTTCCTGTGTTTCAAGGTTTTTATGTGTGGAAAGCCTCTGTCCAGCATCTGAGAAAGAACCTCAAAATATATATTTTTTTAATTTTGCCTTTTGGTCAGATAAAACAACAAAAAAAATCCCATTTATCCAGAATGTATCTTTTTCAGATTCTGGGGTTTTGGGTGTGGAGGGAGAGGAAGGCATATCATCTTTTTTTTTTTTTTAAGATTTTATTTATTAGAGAGAGAAAAAGCAGGGGGAGGGGCAGAGGGAGAAGGAGAAGCAGCTTCCCTGTTGAGCAGGGAAAAAGGCATATCATCTTGGAGTTAACTTCTAAAAATGATAATAGCTTGTATTTAATTCAGTTTTGCCAAGTCAGGATCTGGCTTGTTATTTTTAATGTATACTTCACCCTGGAAAAATGCAGGTTTGAACTGAGCATTGTTCCAGGATCACTTGTATAGCAGGTTTCCCAGATAATAATTGAGGGGCTTTTAAATACAGGTATTATGGAGTTATAAAATCAGATTTCCTCAAGCTAATTTGTCAGAAGAAACTTTTCATCTTTGAGGCTAGAATGTGTGAGTGTGGTGAGTTGGGCTTGACGTGAAAGCCACAGAGAGGGTAGCAGGTAGCAAGAGAATGTTCTGGAATTGGGATGGGGCCAGTCGTTCCTTTTTCACTGAGATAAGATGCACAAATGGACCACGGCAGTAACCAAAATTCATAAAATAGGAAGAATAGATCACACATAAAAAATGTACACAGGGAGATAGGTGAGAGGGATCTTCTTTTGCTGTATCAACATTTATTTTACAGCCAAAATATGATTGTGTGTGTGCATGTGCACATATTTGTTTTAGGGAGAGGAAGAGTTACAGGAAACCGAGAACACTATCCAAAGTGAGTATTAACCTGTCAAAACAAAAAACATGTTCATCTTAACACATGTTGCTCAGGTCTTGGCTGATTAAAGCACACAGACCCTGTGTGTTCACCTTAAGCCAGCAAGAGGAGAAACATGGCCCCAGGTAGGAGGCTACCCGCAACATTAACCCGGCAGTCAGGAGAATTTGTAGCTGTGAGACCAGTGGAGCCTGTACCAC